GCCAGGACTGGGCCCTTGGCAGAGGGTGACAGAGAGAGATCCCACGGGATTCAGCCTGGCCAGGGCATAGCCGCACCCCACGGACGAGGCTGGGAGGGTGAGGACCTGCAAGGCTGGGCTGTCTCCTGGTACCGGATCCAGCCCATTCTTGCAGGGTTTAAGCCCTCTTCAATGCTTTGCCACCTCGTTTTCCCACTACCAGCCTACGCCGGGCTCCTGGTATGGGCTGGGTGCGTTTGACCTGACTTCCAACTTGCACCCTGCCGGTACCACCCTCACTGGGTGCTCCCCAGGCCAAGGCACAGGCAAGGAAGCAACAGCCGTGCTGCGACATCCCCTCCTTCCCCCCAGGCAGGGGCTGCATTCCCAACACAAACCTTTCCAGCAATAAAAAGGAAGATGAGATCTCTGCTACGTGTAACCCGGGCTAAAACGCCCGCCGCCGCAGGAGAACAGCACCCTGGCGAGGTGGCGGAGGACCCCATCGACCACAGCAGAGCCAGAGGAGCAGCTGTGCTGCGACACGGAGACCCCAGCACCTACACGTTCTGCCAAGGCGTTTCCGACGGCTGCTGGGGAAGGTGCCCAGATCCCATGGTGACGGGCAGCGCTGGAAACCTTCACCAGAGGCCGCACGCAGGGAGGGCAAGAAGCGCCCGCAGCGCGTGAGTTCCAGCTGTGCCACGGTGCCGATTCAGGTGGGGAGGACCCGTGCCCACAGCACAGGAACAGAGAGCGGCCGGTGTCGGAAAACCTGTCTTGTCTTGTCTGTCTGGTTTTTTGTTTTTTAGTACAAGGTAAAACCTTTATTACAACTTTTCATTCATCGGTATACAACATCTGAAAGACAGATATGGGGAAAAAAAGTAATATTGTTATAAAATGTCACATTTATTGCTACATTACTGTTATATACAGGACAGTTCTCAAAATCTACTTTAAAAAAGTTAGGATTATTTAAAAATTCCAAATAATCCAGCCAGCTGTTTTGACACTTGTATAAAATTATTTAAAAAAATGAAAACAATTCATATCTTGAGGCACTCAGAAACACAATTTTATCCCCCAATTGTGATTCATTTCAAAGAACAACGCATTTCCCCACCCCCAAATACTTTATTTTTTTTTTTGCTGGGTTAGGCATATATATATATATATTTACTATATATATATTTCAAAACTATAATGTGTATCTGATTTAAGAACAAGGATTTCAGCCACTTAAGTACATCTGGATTTACAGGTAGGCAGCATAAACATCAAAAGCAAGGACCATTTTTTTTTTTTTTTGAAGGCCAAAAACCAAAAACCAACCCAAAACTTTCTACGGGGTTAAAAATAAACAACTTCCGCAGGCATCTCCCATCTGCTCTCCCACCCCCCCGTCCTACAAAAATATATAGAAAGAGCGACCCAGTAACGCTTCGTTTCCCCAACGAGCTGGAGCCCTCCGTACAAAACGGGTCATTTCCTGCAGACCGCGAGGTCCAAGCGCGTGGTTGGGGTCATCCCTGCTCCGCTTCACCAGGTGCCTCTTTCTCCTCTCCCGGCAAATTAACCACCGCTGGCGGGAGGGCGCACGGCTTCCCACGGCTCCTTCCCGCCCCGAGAGGCCCCGCGTTACCAGGTTTGCTCAAAAGCTGGTGGGTTTCAAGTGATTTGGGAAGACGTGGCACCAGGAAGGGGGAACTGCGGTGCCGCCGGGTCGCTGCTGCGGGAGCTCCGTGTCTCCGCAGAGCACAGCCCGGGGACGCAGGGCGCAGGGATGCTCGGCGGCAAAAGGCCTCGGTACCCGGGACGCCCCATTTTGAAGCACAGATCCCTTTGCTCTCCCGTACCGGTGCCCGCAGCTCCGCTGTGCCAAGATGTAACAGGGCGCGAGTTTTATTCCCTCTCCTTCCAACGCGGCGGGTGCTTGGCTGGACCAGGGCGGCTATTGCAAGACCTGAGGCGTACAAAAGCAGAGGAACAGAAACACCGGCGTGGAGATCCACGGCAGGGCCACCTCTTGCCCCCCGAGGGCAGGATGCAAGATGGACACAGAAGTTTTGGCAGAAAGGACGCCTGCGGCCCGCACCGCCCTCCTAACCAGAGATGACCTCCGCGCTCGGCTCACGAGAGTCCTGCAGGCAAAGGCACTGCAGCTGCCAGCTCTCCAGACGGGGCAAATTGCCCTGAAGACCAAACCTCTGCGCAGAGCACCGGGTCCCCCACGCCTGCCCTGAGGGCAGCGGGGCAGGGAGAGGCAGCCGTGCCACGGGACCGACCTGCAGCATCCACCTCCCAAATCCTCCCGCCTCCGCCCCAGCAGACGGGTGGCTGGTGGCACGGTTCTGCCCCCCCCGCGAAGAAACCCACAGTGGCTGCGCACGAAGGGACAGAGCTCACAGGTGCTGCCCGGAGAGACTGGGGAGCGCAGGAGGAAGGAAAACACACCTCCAGGCTTGGGGCGGTTGAAGGAAGCCCAGCCAAGCCAAGCCCGAGGCTCAGGCGTTAACGGAGCAGCCCGTAGAGCCAGGCAGCAATGAGGTGGGACCCAGCTTCTCCATTCAGGGGTACTGGGGGAGATGGCGCGAGATGAAGGATACTGGCAATGAGATGCCAAGCATCGAGCAGAAGGCACAGGAGGGTGAAGGGTGCGTGGAGGAGCCCTAGGACCAGGCCTTGCCCCTCCAATTGAGTGCTCAGCTCCTGCAGCATGAGTTGGAAGGGGTGTTCCTGCGGTTTCACCCCTCGTCTAACCACCCTCGGCTCCAGGGCAGACGTCCTGAAATGCTTTTGGAGCTGCTAGAAATGAAGCTGGACCCTGAGAGCAGCAGGGAGCGGGAACTCGGCAGTCACGGACAAGAGCAGGAGAGAATGGGCTGGGCTGGGATCTGGAGAGCCCCGGGGGAGAGGAGAGGGGGTTGCATAGGATTTAACAGGGCAAAGACCTTGTGCAAGCTTGTGGTACGGAAAACAGGTCTTGCTGTTGCTGGTGTTGAGCAGGAACGGGGGAATCCAGTGGCCACGGCTTGCTCCAGGTTAGCCAGCACTGCGCCTCGGGGGCTGATGGCTTGTCCTGGCCCAGCTCCAGTACCAGCTTTGCTTCACCTCCCCGTTTGCAGCTCTTTTCTAAAACCCCAGGCCAGGGGATTGCTGAAACCGGAGCTGGCCCAGCGTCACCAGCACAGCACAGAGCAGGGCCATGGGCTGCCCTGGCACTGAAGCTGGCAGCCTCCCCATGGGAGCAAAGCTGAGGGATGCAGGGGACTGGGGGTTTAAAAGCCTCCTGTTTCTCAAGGCCGAGGGGGAGGATGCGCTGAATCGCCCACCAAAGGCTGTGCTGGCTTCAGCGGGTCCACGCGTGAGACACAAAGGACCTTTGAGAGCAGCTTCTGCACCGAACCTGAAATTGCCGACTCCTGGGGAAACCCCAGCCTGGTTCTGTCCTTCCTGTTCAATCGCTACCGGGCAGCGAGCGCAAAACCTCTAGGAACCGGCTCCTCACCGACACACGGGCCAGGGGAAAAAGCTGTTCGCTGCAGTCACAGCTGGGGAGGTTTCACATCACACTTCTGCGCTTCTCCGCTGGAAAGGGCAAAAACCCCAACCCGCCAAAGCAGCCAGACCCCCGGCCCTGGAGCGAAGGCGCACAGGGAGGGGGCAGCAAGTTGACCTGGCGTGGACCGGCTGCCGACAGCCAGATGCGGGATCTTGGGGTGCCCAGCTAACTCGACTGCCCCGATTCCTGCAAACCGTCTGCCCAGGCCCTGCTGCGCTCCCAGGCCGGAGCTCAGTGCAGACAGGAGGGACACAGACTGGGATCCCGATGTCCCAGGTCCCGTCCCTCCTGCCAACCCACCTCCGCAGGATACCAGGGCAAGCTGTAAAAGCGGGGGAGCCGAGAGCCCGAGGAGATGTTGGCAAAGAGCTGGAGCTGAACTCAAGCCAGGCAGTTGCTTGGCTGTGAGTGGGTCTGACTGGCGGGTCACAGGCAGGGGAGCGGCTGCCAAACCAGGGGTTAGCTGGAATTTCACTCCCCGGGGCGCGCTGGCAGCAGCTGCGGGGTTGTGAGCAGGAGCAGGCAGACTGCCACCACCTCCCGTCGATGCCGAGCACTGCCGGTCCGAGCCCATAAAGGTGCAGTCTCTGGGAGGCTGCAGCTGTTTTGCTCTGGGGCAAAAGCAGGTGAAGAGGGAGAAAGAACAAAAATCTGCAATTTTTACTGTTAATAAATCGGATTCCAGACACTCCCCAGCACGTGGTGGCACGCACAGCACTCAGGCAGGGTGTGCAGGGAGGCAGGGGGCTGCTCGAGGGGGAGGAAAGAGGAGGTCCCTTGGGCCAGGGACCCGAGGACTGCGCCCCAGCGCCTGGCCCTGCCACACAAGAAGCGTCCCACGGCAGCTCTGCGCCTGGGCCCCCCGTCCTGCTGTTTGACCGCGACGCAGCTCAGCTACTGTGGCCTGGGAAAAGAGAAGCTAGAAACCGCGCACGGGGGAAGGCGGCCTCTCCCGATTCCCTGCCTGACAAAGGAAGCTTTGCAGGGGCTCCGTGGCCCCCAACGCTGAGGGGCACGCAGCCTAGGAGACCCCAGGCGTGCAAGGCTGAGAGAGAAAGCAGAAAACGGAACGCCACCCTGCAGCACGTCACCCACCCGTGACACCTCTCTGCAGCACCACCGCCGCAAGGGACACGCGGACAGGCAGAGAAGCAAGTCTGGGGAGAAAAGAGATCCGTAAGACAGCACAGTTGAATGCCAGCAGAGCCGGGGGCTGGGGAGGGCGCGGACCCTGGCCCTCTCCGACCATGACACCTAAAGACGAGAGTTTCATTGCGACAGGCTGATATGTCAGGACTGGCCCGGTGGTATTTTGGGGACAGCACCTGACAGTGCTCATTTTTAGAAAAGCCACTTTCCCTGGCAGGTTACAGGCACCACGCTCACACTGAGCCAAACACACCGGCAAGCCAAAGTGATTTTTCCTTGCTGCGCTCCGCAATTGCTCCCTACGGACCTGGAGAGCAGAGGTGGCGCCGAGGCTGCGCTGGGCTGGCGCAGGCAGCAAGCCTGCGCCATCGGGGCAGCTCCCGGCACGGCGCTACCAGCCCCAGACATTGTGCTTTCCTGCTGGAGGAACCAAGATCTCCTCCAACCCCTGGCACCGGGGGTTTACGCTCAAGGACCTTCGTCCAAGCTTTGCCAAGGAAGTTAGCTGGTTTTGCTGTCAAGAGAACAGCATCCAAGCCACCTCAATGCAGATGAAAAGCCCCATCTCTGTTGGTTTGGGGACGCTGGGGAAGGCTCTGTCTCGTCAGGAGTCCCCCCTGGCCTGCAGAGCGGCAGCCAGGACTCGGAGGGGATGAAGGAGTTCAGCAAAATTTTGAACAAATCATAAATGTTCTCAAATTTCCAATTTTGTTGAGTTTCTGGATTTTTCCGGACTACAATCTCTTTTCTTTAAATCCAGTTGTACATGACTGCCACCTCAAATTCTTGTTGTAAAATCAAAGTGTTGGGGAAGCACTTTTTCATTTTTTGGTAGGGTTTCAAGCTTGCCAGGGCTGGGGCACTGCTCCATCCCTCCCCGGTCCTGGGGCAGCGGCACTGAGCCAGCAGAAAACCTCGAGCAGCCAGCGCCCTGCCGGCCCCAGCGCTGTCCTGCCGACAGGGCAGAGACGCTCGCGGGATGAAGCAGCATCTCAGAGGCTGCAGAACGCAGCCGATGAGTCCCCAATTCCTACCCGAGAGCATGAATCAGGGTTGTCTGAGCATCCGGACCCGGCTGGGGGGGTACAGAGGGGCACTGCCCCCTCCCTGCGTGTTTTACCATCCCCAAACTGAACTCGCTCCAGTATCCGAAGCACAACCCGACCCGGCAGGATGCTTCAGGAAGACACGGCTTTTGCTGCAAGGGAATTGCTCCACAGGGGCAAGGCTGTCACACACGGAGGAAAAACTCATCCATCTCACGCTGGCCAGCACTTAAGCAGGCAGAAGAACCCAAGGGAGGGAAGAGTGTCATAACCTGATGAGCTAATTAGGCTGAAACATGTCTGTTGACACAGGCAAGAAGACCGTGTGTTCCTGGGCCGCAGGGACGCCAGCCACTGACCTTTCCCAGCCTTCCTGGGGACAGAGCTGGAGGCTGCGGTGCTCTCAGGCCTCACCACGCAGAAGCGACGGTGGGAGCTGCGGGCTGTGGGCAGGGAAAGCCAGGAACACCCGAAGCCTCAGAGCTATGGTTGGACCTTGCAGAGTCCCAGGGCAGTGCCAGCGCCAGGGGCAGAAGGGAGAGACGGTCCCATGCTGCTCCGGCACTTGTAAGTGGCTCCTCTCTGAGATGCTACAGGGGCTGCGCCCACGGTACCTGGGCGTAGGTGGGAGATGAGCGATGTCCTAAGCATTTCCAGTAGGCTTTGCTGGAGCACAAAGCATAGCTACAAGCACAGAGGAGCAGCAGGAGGTTATGCCAAAGCCTGGGGTGCTAGGAAGTGCCACAGGACCTAATCCTGTTCGCCAGTCCTTCCCTTTCCCCGTGCCAAAGCAATACAGCTTCCCCAGGAGCACAGGCCAGAGGAGCAGAGGGGAGAGATGGACCCTGCTGCTGGGGGTCCTACTGTACCCGCTGTCCCCATGTCCCCCCCAGGCCAGCAACCGTGCCCCGTGAACTATCCTGCCCGCCTGGGCTCTGCCAGGCAGATCTGGGCAGCAGCCGGCCCCAGTCCGAGAGCATTACAGACACTGCTGAGATGGGATTTAACATCGCCCTGGGGGAGCTGACCCCTGCCTGCAAAGCTGGGAAGAACCAGGCACAAAATGTTTCAGAAGGGGAAGGAGAGGGAAGAAACAAGAATAAATTCCTGGTGGATGCTTTTCTATTGCCAACTCCAGAACGGCTGGCACAGCTCAGCACCGCTGAGCCCCTCTTCATTTGCTCCCGCACCTCTGGGGCACCCTGCCATGCGGTGGGGCTGCCGGGGGTCTTCCTCCCGCTGGGCGCACAGAGCGGTCTGGAGTGACACTGGGAAGCCCTCGGAGAGAAGGCATCACTGGCCCAGCTTGGCTGCTGGAGCATCTCGCGCAGGACGGGCGCTCGCTGCTCCCCTCCTTTCCAGCACGGAGAGAGGAGACCACATGCAGGTGACAGCGGCCACTCTGCCTCCCCGCGGCAAGCCGGGCAGCAAGCTGAGCTGGGTTTGCCTCCAAGGATGCTTTGGAGATCCGACAGCGGGCAAAGGCAGGGTGTGAAACCACCCCTCTCCCCAAGCCTGCAGCGTTTTGCACTTCCAATGGTGGTGGCTCCAGCATGGGGAGAAGCTGCGTGGAGACAGGGATCCTGCTGCCGGTCACGGCTTGCTGAGGGCTGGAGTGAGCGCACGTGCTGCGTAGCTGCTCCCCTTCCTACCGCCTTGGGCTCCACTGCCAGCCGCCAGCGCCCACGGGTCCGTCTGCTGCAAGGTCGCCGAGCATGGTGTCCCGCTGCTGCCTTCGCTCCGTCTGCCTCTGCCTCTTCCCAGTCCTCCAGCTTTGTTCAGTTTGTCTTTGTTCAGCGCTGTCCCTGGAAGCGGCCTCTGACAGCGGGCGTTTGCTCAGACGCACGGGCAAGAGGTGCTTTCCTCTGCCCTGGGCTTTCCTCTTGCATCTGTGTTGCTTCTTTGCTTACCTTGGAAGCACCCCGGTCCCTCGGTTCTCTTCCACCCCCCAAGGCCCGCTCTCTCCCGGCAGCTCGTCCTCCCCATCACGACGCTCTCCTCTCCCAGGCGGGACCGCGGCCTCCGGGATCCTCCAGGAGTAAAGCAAATCTTGCAGAGACCCTTGATGGAGCTCGGTCACCTCCCGGGGGGAGCGGGAGCACCGCTGAGGGATACTGCTGCAACTTGCTTTGCTGTTTAACTTCCTTTTCCCAAATCAGAAGTGGCCAAAGCAAAGAGATGGTGAATTCAGCACAGGAGTTTGTTTTTTTTTGTAATGGAAGGTACAAGCCAGGCAAGGAAGAACATCCCCTCGCTGTGGCTACATTCGCTTTTAGTGGCTTTCAGAGCCGAATCTGAGAATTCCTCTCTTTATATCCAGTCTCTCTTAATACAATTTTAATATTCTGGTTGATCCTAAAGATGCAACGTTAACTATAGAAACAGCAGCAGAAAAGCGTGGGGTACAAGACATTTTTTTATACAAAAAAAAATTCTTTTCGTTGCTTACAAAACATATGCAAAAGAAGCTAAAAAAAACCAAAAGGCATTGCTATTTGTTCTACATAAAAAATCTCATAACTAATGTTCTTTTTTTTTAAAAAAGAAATATCAAGCTTAGGCACAATTTTGCTGCTGGCTGCTTGTGAACAAGCCAAGAGAACACGCCACCCCCTTCTAACTGAGTGATATGTATTGACTGTTCCGCACTTTATACTTAAGGCAATTTTTTTGTTTTCGTTTTGTTTTTGACAAAGTGTTTTTTCCACCCCTTACGTCATGCCAGGATCCGTCCACGTGTGTCAGTATTAGCAGTACTAAAGTTTATGGTTCGAGAAGGTTGCAGGTCACACCGAGGGTTTTCTTCCTACAGATCTCTCTATCCAGAGGAACAAAAAGATCTACAAATAAAAAAACCAAAAGCCTGAAGTGAGAGAAACCCAAATGAGAATAAAACCCTGCTCCTTGCGTGGGGAGGCCGCAAGCCCCCTGCCGCAGCCTCACCTCTGCAGAAGTCGGCCCCGAGGGCTCGCCGTGGCTGCAGCGGAGCTGAGACACAAGCTCGCTATTCTGCCAAGACGTCGGCTTTGCCTTGTTGTTTTTTCAGGGCAGCCCCAGGCACCCACCGGCGCGGGGGACGTCGGGGGACCACGGCCCCTCCATGCGCTCCGGGGCGCGCGGGTGCTCCGGGCTGAGGCATCGCGGCCCCGCACGGGGCAGCCTCCGAGCCCCCGCTCCTGGACATGCTCAGTCCCTCACCGCCATCCCTGCACGCTCGGGCCAAACGGGCTCAGCCGCTCCCGGCCAAGCACGGGGTTCCCTTAAAACCAGGGACAGCCCAGCAGCGCCTGCGCCTGCCACGGTCTCGCTGGGGGAATTTCACCTTCTGTGTCCTTCTTGGCATTTCTGGGACCTGCCCATTCCCTCCCATAGGGCCGCCGGGCAAAGGAGTTGCTGGTTTCCAGTAGCTAACTGGGGCAGAGCTGGGAGGTGCAGAGCAGAGCTGAGCTCGCTCACGGTGGTGAGAGCACCGAAACCCTCCGTCCCGGCTACGGGGCTGCACCTCTCCTGTGGGGCAGAGGCTTTGGGTGTCCACGGATGAGCAAACGACATGGACGTGCACGTCATTTACTCAAGGTAAATTACGAAGGACGTTGGCCGGCGCCAAACGAGTGGGGCTGAGCAGCCAAAGCAGAGCAGCGCGCATCGGAACCGCAGCGGGGTGCTGGGATCACGGGGCGGCGGACGGTACCTTTACATGTGTCCAACAGGATTGTGACCGTCTCCTAGACCAGGATGTGAAGCTGAAAGTGTCATCTGGGGATCTCCTACTACTCCGGACACTTTCTCCTCTTCCCGACGCTTCAAGCAGGCTGCTTTAGGGTTCAGATTGCGCTCTATGCCAAAAACAGCAAGGAAGGGAGGGAAGCGACCTCAGTTTGGGCAACAGCATCGCGCACGGCAACAGCATCCGAAAGAGAGAGCGAGGACAGAGTCCCAGGACAGACACACGGGACCATGCGAGGAAACAACCTCAGTGCAAGCTGCTCTTTGCCTGCCGCTCCTTGCAGTGGCTGCAGTAACTTGGCCGGACCCCTGCTAGAGCAAAACCCCATGCCCGGCTGAAACACCATGCCAATTTAAACATGTGCTTGCTTACAGAGAACCCCAAGTGCCTCAGCCGGCTCTCGGAGTTGAGGACTGAGTTTTCCAAAGCTGCTTAATGGGGTCCAGGTGCCAAATTCCCATTAAGCATGAGGGGAGACGGACAGAGAGGCCTCAAATCCACCCCAGGCCGGGGCTTTGGAAAGCTCAGCCTGCCGCGCGGTGCACCCGAGGGTGCCGCTGGCGATGCAAACGCACAACCTGGCACCCAAAGCAGGAGTCACAACAGAGATGCACGCGCACGCAGAGACGTGGGGGGAGAGAAAGGCCCCGAAATGCACCTGCCAGCTGTTACCATACCTCGTACTTGCTGCTCCAGGCCCAGAATGACCTGCACCGCTTGCTGTAGGATGATCAGTTTGGTCTGTGCTTTGTCCGTTTTTAAGTGCATCTGACACATGCGTCCCAGTTCTTTAAAGGCCTCGTTAATGTCCCGCACACGCACCCTTTCCCTGGCGTTATTGGCCATTCTCCTCTCCCGGTCCCTCAGATCTTTGTCCTCCAGTGACAAGGCCTCGTCTGTACTGCTGGGTTCATAGCACCACAGGGATTAGTCAGGGGGGTGGTACCGAGCGGGGGGCTATATGTTGCCGTGCTGGTAGTGCTTCTGGTGTCCACTGGAAACGGCTCAAACAGCCTCACTTTGCAAAGCCAATTCGTCTCGGGCGCTTCCTGGAGCGGCCCGGGCTACGCGGGCTGCGCGTCACCGCTGCGAGTCACGGGAAGGTGCTGCCAGCACGGGGCCGGGCTCCCGCGGGGCTGGAGGGTGCTGCCGGGGGCGAGGGCGGGCAACGGATGCAGTATCGACACCGACACCTCCCCTCTGCAAAATTTTCCCTTCCTGTTCGTTTTTGGCTGAAAACTGGAAGTTCGAGGGGGTCTCAGCCAAAAACATTGGGTTCATCCCCCAAGGAAAGACTTTTTGGCAGAAAGCAAATCCCTCTTTGTAAGGTTTCCTTCAAAAATCCCACCTGCAGCAAAATCCTCCCAGTGAAGGCGTTTCGGGCAGCCGTGCCGCAGCAGCGTGAGGGCAGCCTGGCCCAGCACCCTCTTACGGGTGCGGGGCAGCACCAGGGGCAGGAGCCAAGTGCCCCTGGCTGCTGCCGAGGGTCAGTCTCGGATGCAGACACTGAATCCAGGTCTTTCAACACAGCCAAAATCACTCTGGAAGGGAGTGGTTTTCTTTTCTAGGCACAGTCAGGAGCTTTGGGAGAGCCTCCACCGCTGGCAGCACCCCAGGGTGCCCGAAACAGGCAGGGACAGAGGGGAAGGCAGAGTCGTGCTGGCAGCATCTTAAACCGTGGCCTCGCCTGCAGCCTGTCCCCTGCAAACCCCCAATTTACTGTACAGACGACCTTCTCCCCCAGAGCAAAAATTCTTGCAGGAAAAGACACCTATCTGAGGAGGGTTCTTGGGTGAAACCTGGCGCTGGGACAGACTGTGGCCTTCGGCTCCAGGGGAGCCACACGGGGATAATCAGCTCCAGGGGAGCCAAGCAGGGATAAGCCTTCACTGAAGAGGGGCCGCAGAGTCAGAGCCTTCCTGGGTGCGCTGGGGGTCTGGAGAGCCTCCAGACAGTGCCCGACTGCGTGGAGGGAGAGCAAGGGCTCCCCAGGCAAGTGTTTGCCTGCGTGGGACAGAGAGTTGCCCGCTGTCCCTGCCTGCATCCTCTCCTCGCTGCCTTGTCCCTGCCCGCGTCCTCCCCTTGCTGCCTCGGTGCCCCAGCTGGCACTGCCACCTTCTCTCCAGCACGCCCGGGATGGCTGGGAGGAGTGGGGCCACCCGAGCCCCTCCACGGCAGGAACCCAGCTCGTTCCTCCGAACGCACGCCAGCAGCCGCGGTTCCTGGCTGGTGGCTCCCCCCAGCAGGGACACAGCTCCGGCAGCGCCCTGCACGCCGCAGCCGGGCAGGAGGGAGCCGTCTCCCCACCACCGGCAAGTGCTGCTGGCGGTTTGCACAGCCATGCGGGGTCCTCCAGGTTATGAGGACGTGCGGTGCCTCGGCTGCCTTGTGCCCCGCTCAGAAGGGGCCCCGACCTGCCTGCCTGGCTCCCCGCAACGCCCCCCAGCCTTCTCCTTTCCCTTCCTGCCCCGTTAGCTGCGGACGGCAGCGGGAGGATCCTGGCAGCCCCAGCTGGGCACGCGGGGACCCGATGGCCCCGCTCCTACGGCAGCCCGGCAGGACAGGACCGGGGGGTCGGCTTCTCTCCTGCAAAGCAGCCCGAAGGCCAAACCCGCCAGGGAAGGGACACCCTAGCTGCCTGCGCTAACGCCTGCTGACAGCAGCACGCGGGGCTCGGCTCGCTTCCCCGGCTGCGTCCAAGAAGGGTTTAAAAAGGGACAAGCGTGGGAGACCAAAGTGAACACGGTGCCAACTCTGTCTAGCCCCTGCCCCCCGCCACCCCTCGGCTCCTGCCTCGACCGCAAGCAGCAAGTACAAGGTAGAGAGTGGGACGACCGAGAGGTCACGGCTGGGGACTGTCTGTAGGAGATCGGAAAGAACAGAACCAAAAAATAAAAATTCAAAATAAAAAATAAAAAGGAAGGGGAAATTAAAAAAGAGACAGGAAAAAATATACATGTTATGAAAGGCAAAAAATTACAAACTGAAGAGAGGCACAAAGGACTCCAACATCAATGCAACAGCAGAGGCCAGCAGAGAGGAGCACAGCCAGGCACAAACCACCGATGCGTGTTACAACAGCCTCTGCAGAGAGAAAGGGGGTTAACCTGCCACGGCACCCTGCGCAGCGGGGCCGGGAAGCGGGAGCATGCACTGCGGGATGCAGGAACAAAGCAGCGAAGTCCTCCGGAGCGGGAAGCCAAGCCCTCCGCTTCCCCTCCCACCGGGACGCGGCACCCGGGGCAAGCACGGGCGCACACGCGTGTGGGAAGGGAACGCGCGCGCCCTGGCGAGGGGGAGAGCCTGTGTGCGCCCACGTGCAGCTCCAGATTCTGCTAGGGATGCGCAGTGCTCCCAGCTTGTGTCGGAGACCAGTTTGTACAGGCAGCGCGGGCTGCCCAACCCCGGGCTCAGCGTCTCCGTCCCGCTGCCCCTCGCACGGCTCCAGCGATCCCCAGGGGTTTGCCGGGTGCCTGCAAACCCAGGGGCACGGTGGTGGGGACAGGAGCGCAGAGCCCCGTGCTGGGTGGGCAGGGAGGATGGGGCACTGCTCACTGCCGCTGCAGGCAGACGGGCTCTGTGCTTGGAGCAGCCCTCAAAGAGATGTCAGATCTGGGCCCCCTTTGGGAGATTTACTGGTTTTTGGTTGTGGTTTTTTTTTTTCATTTTGCCGGCCAAGCAGCTGAGCAAAACACCTGGCTGCGGGAAAGCGAGGACGGCGCAGGTGCCCCCTCGGGGATCAGCATGCAGCACACGCAGTGGCAGTGGGGAACAAAAGAGAGAACAGCAGGGATGCAAAAAAGGGGGGGGGGGGGGGGGGAAAAAAAAAAAAAAAAAAAACCACGGGGACACAACGCGCAACGGGGGGAG